ATTTTATAAATTATAATTTATTATTTCTCATCAGATTATCATAGTGTTCTACTGTTCTACCTATATTCTTATTCAAATGTTATTCCGGATATACAGTCCAACTTCAAACCCCAAAATGAAGGATAAATTCGTCTCTTATGAAAGAAGGAAAGTCAACTTTGTTATATTTGTGGTCAACGGGTTTTCAATTCTGAAATGTTTAGACAGCAATGGAGCAGACACACAGTATACAGAAACGGTTTCTAAAGTTTTCAGTTCACCATTTTTGTCTTTCAAAGGTAACTATGGAATATGGATTATGAAATGCCATTTTTTTTTTTCAGTTTTATTCTATGAGTTTTTTTTTTATATCTTTTTCACTCATATCATCCATTTTTTCAGATCATAAACCTGCTATTGCAATTACACATGGAGATCTACTTACATTATCTGAACGTGCACGTGTTTGTGTTCATCTTGGAGAGCTTCTTGGTGTTCATCCAATTAAACAAACATTTGACATTCCAGATAACAATGAAGTCACAACTGAGTTGACTATTGTTGACTTGCTGCGTTATGCTCTTGAGCATGCTGATAGAAACCTTCCTTTCAAATCCCAATCTCGAATCAACAAGGCAAGACTCTGAAACAAATCAATAATGATATGTTTCTGTTAATCTTGCATGTAACTGAGTTGACTATTTTACATATTTGCAGGGTTGTAGGATTCAGATATGGGCATGTTCAGTACTGATATTAGCTCTGGGAGTGTTCTATTTCACAGTTCATCTTCATGGGTTTCATTCTGACAAAATTCAAGAAGAAAGTGTTCATAAATCGGATCTTGAAATGAAGAGAGTTAACACAGAAAGTGTTGTTAAACCAAATCTGGAAATAAAGGAAGTTTGTAGGGGGAGGAAATCTAAATCTGAATCAAGAAAAGAGAGAAAGAAGGGAAGGGTTCGTGAACCAAGTGTGGAGATAGATTGGGCAAAGATTCGTCACATTTGGTAGGGGCAAATTTGTCATTTATCAACCAAAAAGGCAAAAACTAGGTATGTTTGTATAAGTTTGAGGGTATCTTGAACTGTGTAAATAGTAGTATATAACAACTGGGTGTGAATAAAAGTGGACTATTGATTGTGGAAGAGATTTCCCTTTTGGGTTCACTTCTTCATCAGACATGTAATCTATATAATAAATATACTAAACTATAAAAAAAGTTGTAAATCGTGTTTATAAAGAGACCATAATGATGAATTTACCTAAAATGTGTTTGTAGAAAGATTTTCTTGATCCATTAAGAGTTTAAGTCACTACTGTCAATCTTGTAGACTTGGATAATCAATAATGTAGATAAAGGTGGCATTAAATAAAGTTCAGGGGCCATTTTGTAAATTTATGGAAGTGATGGTCTAAAGTTGTCAATGTGATTTCCATGTTTGACTAACTCAAACAAAACGCATCAGGGGCGTTCATTCTTTGACTCCCACTTTCATGTTCATAGTGTGCCTTGTGTTTTCTCTTTGCTTCATGTATGATTACAAGTGATTGAATAAAAGATTCTTCAATTAGTCAAATCTTGTTCAAATTCTTTTTAATAACTTGTTCAAACTCTTGAATTGGCTTCCATAATTATAACCAGTTAGTTTTTCAATCTTGTTTTGATTAAATCCATTGTAATTTATTGATCTTCTTGTTTATTTATTGTACGACTTCCGTAAGAATATGTTGGGTTTAAAGTGAGCAAAGGAGTAAAAAGATTAGAGTTAATTGTTGAAAAGACTTCAAGGTTTTTATGCACAAGAGAAGTTTTTTTAAAATAAAATTTTGTTTGGTTTAATATAATAAATAAGCTTTAAAAATAATTTATGATAAATCATTATGAGTGCTCTAACATTAATTACCTTCAAGGTATAGAGGAGAGAGTGAAGGTAGGACCAAATCAATATGATTACTTGTTTTAGTTTTAACAGGTTTAGCCGTTTAGGTTCGGTCTAAAGTAAAGATGATTCCTAATACAAATCAAAATCAACACTATTTTTTTTTTTTTTTTTTTTTTTAATTTTTTAGTGCAATTTGTTAAAACAAATCTGGGAAACAATTGTTTATTTTGTAGTTAGCGACCACTATGAGATAAGTGTAATTAGTAGGTTGGAACTAAAATGTTTATAGGGTTCAGTTCTCTCCGGAGACATTGGTGGTGTAGTTTAAGATTATATTAGAAAACTTTAAAACAATTAGTTAAATTTTTTTCTATGGATAAAAATGTTCAAGTTGTTGCATGCCCTATTTTAAGGACTTTCCCTGTGTTCCTTCTCTTGCAATGCTCTACATTCTTTTATGACAACTTCACTCATTTGCTTTCATGTCATCTTTTGAGGATTTTTGGCTGTAGTCATCTTCAATCTTTGGGAATGCCCTGTATTGAGGACTCCCTTCTACAATCCTCCTCAGTTAAAGAGATGACATTAAATACACGAATGATATGGAGGTTTTATGCTCTCCTAGTGTACTCGACATAACCCGTTGTAGAAGAGGAACACCCCACAGCTAAGCTAATCATATTGCTTGGGTAGTGTTCTTTTTGGTTTAATGGTAACTCAACTACAAACAACCTTGCAAAACTAATTTGATCTTCTAGCATGATTGAAATTATATGAATATTAACATGATTTAAAAAATATGAATATTTAAATATACTAACATTCCAATTTAATCCTTTTTTATTTTAGGTATTTTTATAAGATTTATTAATTTGGTATCTTATAAAATGTAATTTTTATAAGTCATTATCAATTCTCTTATTCTAATAAATGAGTTAAATTAATCATATCAACAATTATTACTAGGAAAAACACATAAAACACTAAAGTTTCACTTGAATCCGGTTTAACCGCGATGATTTTGCAGGTAGTTTAGTTCTAAGAAAGTAACACATGTTTTAAAAAAAATCCATTTCCACAGCTACTACAAATGATAACATGAATATGTTTCTTATAGTCAACATAACAAGATATTAATGTAAAAATTCTACTACTATTTATTTCTTTTCATCATATAATTCAAAAAACAAATTACAAAACATGTATATTGGCTATTCATACAAACTATATAGTTTCAAACAATGTTATTTTCTTGTTTGGTACACAAAATAAAAATGGGTTTGTATATAGACACTTTTATGAATGTAAAATATAGATCTTGGTTGTTTTCATATTCTCCACAAAAGATAGAACATTTTTTTTTTTTTTTTTTTTTTTTACTTTTGTTTGTGTATATGGATCATTCAAACAAACTATAAGAGTTCTCCACAAAAGATAGAACATTTTATTTACTTTTTGTTTATGTGTATATGGATCATTCAAACAAACTATAAGAATTCTATGATGAAAAGAAATAGATAATAGAATGTTTACATAAATATATTATTATTTAGAGTAGACAAAACTGCAAATTTAGTCCTTGTGGTTTGCAAAAAACTTTGGATAGGGTCCAAAAGTTTTTTAACTTGCATGGTAGGTCCAAAATCAAGGTTTTTCTGGGTTTTTGGTCCCTGATACACTTAAAAAGACGATTTTACCCTTGTGATTTCTTTTTTCTATTTTCTTTAATTATTTTGGTATTTAAATAATTAAAAAATAAATAAAAACTAAAATCTCTCTCTCTCTCTCTCCCTCATACATACACATAATTAAAACTTGTACCCACTACCCACCTATATACATTCGCTCTCTTTCACACACACAGTAAACAACTCAAGAAAAAACCCAACTTCCTTTATACCATTCCTGTTACACCCCTTCATTATCGCTCCCTCCGTGTACCCTATGGCCACCAGTATCTACCCTCGAATCATTTTGCAGAATCACCATCTTCTCCTCCGTCTGCCTGTATTTCACAATCTCCACTCTCCTCCAATTGGTCCCAAATAGCAAAATTAGGTTTTTTGTCAACAAATTATGGATCAGAATTGAGCAATGTTTGTCTCCGCCTTCAACAACTTCTCAACCATTTGAACGGATCGAGTTGCAAGTCCCAAATTAACGATCAATCAAGATGCAACTTCACAAATAATTTTTGTTTCTGGCCTTTTCGTACCTACTAATTGTAGGATCTGATCAGTCCCCATTTCATCCATATTCTTTTCGATCAAAGTATTGATCGATTGAGACGAAAGCTCAGAACACTTTGACGAATCGAAATGGGACCAACAAAAGTCTTTGGGCGGCGGCTATGTGAGAATACGATCGAAATGGGTTGTGGTGGTGGTGATTTTACATGAAGATTAATCGAAATATTTAGTTTTTGTTTCTAAATGGAATGATTTATATGTCATAAGATCTTCAATGTGTATACATTGTTAAATGGAGAGAGAGAGAGAGAGAGAGAGAGAGAGAGAGAGAGAGAGAGAGAGAGAGAGAGAGAGAGAGAGAGAGAGAGAGAGAGAGAGAGAGAGAGAGAGATTTTAGTTTTGTTTATTTTTTTTAATTATCTAAATATCAAAATAAATAAAGAAAATAGAAAAAAGAAATGAAAAGGGTAAAATCGTCTTTTTAAGTGTATCATTGACCAAAAATCAGAAAAAATTTGATTTTGAACCTGCCATGTAAGTTAAAAAACTTTTGAACCCTATTTAAAGTTTTTTGCAAACCACAAAAACTAAATTTCCAGTTTCATCTTTAGAGTATAAAAAATGCATTCATATTACCATCTTTGTAGATCAAAATAAAACGTGATGGTGGCTTTCAAGTGCTTCTTGTGATTACTAATTTGGTCCGAAAGTTATTTATTTTTGGTATTAAATGCATCTTAGATTTCTAGCAAATAATCAAATATTATTACCAATCAATATTCCGAATCAAACATCACAATTTTTTTTTCATCTTTGGATGAGATTCAACGGTTATATTATAAATTAATGACAGAGATCTTAATTCTTAACGTAAAAGTGTCCACCAAAAACGACAAAAGCCAAAACCTTCAACGGCACTTGCAAGTCGCAAGCAATATGGTCCAAGTTCAAAGATTTGATCTTTTTCCAAATAAAAAAAAAAAAATGTTTATGTATCTATCACACATTCCAAAATCAATGGCACTCCTTTCATCTCTACATATTCACACACTTCACACAAATTGCGCACACAGCACACATATCTCATCTCCCCTCTTCTTCCTTGGTACCCCGGTAACCCTCGTCCCCCTTTGATAAGATTCTTGAACCAGGTTTCATCCTTCCAAGATTCATTCAGTCGTCAACATATTTCTAGCTTTTTATCGGTGTTATCTGACCTGGGGTTTTCCTGTTTTGCCTCGTTTTGTTCAAAGATTATATACAGATCGTTCTGGCTGTTTTTTGGTATAGTAGATTGCATTTCCATTGAAAAAGGGATTAGGGTTTATCAGATTTGAACTGGGGTTTCTTATTTTTGATATTTATAATCAAAGATTTGATTTTGTTGAAAAAGAGAGAAAAGTTTATTTGTAGATTCGATTCAAACCCATCGGGGTTTGTGATTCATTCAATTAGGGTTTGTTCAATGGGAGCTTTGCATGATTGTCATTACGATTTGGGGCTAGAGAATGGGATAAACCCTGGTGGGTGTGTTGAGCTTGATTTTGAGCAAGACCCAGAGACTGTAGCCATTGAAGATGCTGTCAAAGTTTTGCTAGAGGGCTTGGGTGAAGACATCAATAGAGAAGGGATTAGGAAAACCCCTCTTCGTGTTGCCAAAGCTCTTCGCGAAGGGACCAAAGGTTCGCTCATTTTCATTATATCACCACTCTTATCTTCACTCCGCGTTTCATTTCAATCGTATTTTAGTTTGACAGTTTGCTAGAATTACATTAGAACTTTGGCATTTGGTTTGAAAGCAGCGACTTCAAACCCTCAACGAATCTAGAAAATCTTTCTAATGATTTTGAATTTCTTCTCCAGGCTACAATCAGAAGGTGAAAGACGTAATCCAAGGTGCATTATTTCCTGAAGTAGGAGTCGAAAATGGAGTCGGACAAGCTGGAGGAGCTGGTGGGCTTGTTCTTGTTAGAGATCTTGATCTCTTTTCATATTGTGAATCCTGTTTACTCCCATTCCAGGTCAAATGCCACGTAGGCTATATTCCATCTGGTCAACGTGTTGTGGGCCTTAGCAAACTCTCAAGGGTCGCCGACATCTTTGCAAAAAGACTCCAAGATCCACAACGTTTAGCAGATGAAATCTGTTTAGCTCTACAACATTGGATCAAACCAACTGGTGCTGCTGTCATTCTTCATTGCTCACATATTCACTTTCCCAGTTTTGCCCCTGGGTGTCTCGACTCTGATCACTCAAAATGGGTCAAGGTTGTAGTCGGGTCTGGTTCAGGTTCTTTTGAAAAAGACGATTCTCCCATGTGGGTTGACTTTTTGGGTCTTCTAAGACATAAAGACATCAATCTTGAAACCATTCTTTCAAGAACTAAAGCTTCTTGTTGGTGTCCTTCAAGATCTTTCAAAACTGGACCTTCAAAATCTGGAATGGTTGCTGCTGTGGGGTCCATCATACAATCCCTAGGTCAAGACCCATGTAGAAAAGAACTCATGGGTACTCCTAATCGATTTGTCAAGTGGCTCATGAGCTTTAAAGATTCAAACTTGGAGATGGAACTCAGTGAGTTTGATGGTATTCCTTTGAGAACAATTGGGCGTGTGAATTATAAAGAACATATCAAGTCTGAATTGAATTTATCATTATGGTCACTTTGTGAACACCATTTACTACCTTTTTATGGTTTAGTTCATATAGGTTATCTGTCTGATGAAGAAGTGAATCCGAAAGGGAAATCTCTTCTTCAATCAATAGTTCATTTTTATGGTTTCAAACTTCAAGTACAGGAAAGGCTTACAAGACAGATTGCAGAGACTGTTGCTCCATTGTTGGGTGGAGATTTAATGGTGGTTGTGGAAGCAAATCACACTTGTATGATTTCTAGAGGGATTGAAAAATTCGGTAGCAATACAGCCACAATTGCTGTTCTTGGTAGGTTCTCAAATGATCCAGCAGCAAGAAGTAAGTTTTTGCAGAGCATTCCTAGCTATTCTTTGTAACCGATAAGGTAAATTTACTCTAGATTGCTGCAATTTTTATTGTTAAACTTCACACTTCTATTAGTATATTGTATTTTTGCATTCATAGGGGTGTCTAATAAGGTGAAACGGAAGTATATGTCTACATTTACTCATTCATGGAGTTTCTTGTGAACTAAGAGCTAGATAGATAGTATAGAAGCACAAATCTTAAAGGTCTTTATTTTGCTAAACACATGGATTATCAATATGATCTCTTTCACACTACGAATCCTTGTGGATAGGGAAGCATGATATAACTAGTATACTTTAAGGTTGGTGTGTTGAATGTTGATTAATAAATTCATAGACGTTTAGAAAAAAATGTATGGAGAATATCTTGTAAACATTCTTGACATAATCCAAACATACTGAGTGGGAGTTTGGAATTGCTTATTTGAAATGGTTATTGACTTATTATGGTTTGAGTGTTTGACATCGGTAATAAGGAGTTTTAAATAGTTGGATATGAAGATTTGTAAAGCATTTATCGACTTAAACTAGGTTTGAGCCCCGTGTAGTAACCAAGGTTCTAAATAATGTAAGATGCGGCTTGACGGCAAGGTAAAAGTTAAGTTATGATAAGCCTTGGTGAATCATGATATTTTTCAAGGCGTGACTGAATTATATACATTAAAAGATATAAATCATATAATTATTAAATTTTATCAAATATATGAAGTTTTTAGAATTGTTATATTAATATCTAATAGAAAAAAGTTAATAAAAACTCATTTATTTTAGGTCCAATAAAAAAACAAAAAACATCCGTGCTTTAAAAAAAACTCGTGTCATAACGCGATAAGGTACACCTTGACACGTTATTTGGGTGTCACGTTTAACAAACCTGCTTTGGACGTTTTCGTAATGGTTACACTACGTTTCGTGCCATGGCATTTCTTAAGGCTGGCCATGACGCGCTTTTTAGAACCATGAGTAGTACATATGTTTATTAAAAATAAAATTTTAATATAAATGTATAAGCATTATTTATTTATTAAAGTAATATTTTTACATAAATATAATGTAATAAATAAAATAAGTATTTCAATAAATAATAAAAAATAATGATATTTTAAAAAACAATGCCTGATATATAGTGATTTAAAAACTAATTATAGAAGATTTGAAACAGAAAGTAAAGAATCGACTTCAGAGTATTTATTTTGAAATTTAATAGAATGATTTAAATAATAGAAACTCCAAAAATGATAGAAACCGCTAGGGGTGTTCATGGTTCGGTTTGAAACCGTGAAACCGGTCAAACCGGGCATTGGTTTGGTTTCGCGGTTTGTATTTTTCTTTACAGTTTGGCTTGCGGCTTCAAACTTTCGAAACCGTAATGAACGGTTTGGCTTATGGTTTCAAAATTTTTAATCCGTAAAAAACCGGACCGGACCGTATGATTTATAGATAAAAACTAATTTTTTATATGTAATTATATATAATTTTATGCTCCATCGTTTGTAAAAAGAAGCATTATATTAATAAAAATAGTATTATATTATGATTATGCTTCATCGTGTCTAACAGTGAAGTGTTAAACATTATTTTAGACATTGACCTACTTCATTTGCAATCATCCATTTATGATTTTTCTTTTTCATAATTACCAACTAATGATATTTGTTTTTTTAGGCAAGATGATATCACAGTATATACTCTTTGAATATAAGATGTGCATACATGGTATGGGTTTTAGAATCTGTCTTCAGTCGTTAAAGAGTTTTTTTTGTATTTAATAAACGATATATTTATATATATGTAATTATGTTGGATTAAATGTTTAATTAATTTGATTAAAACTAAGTATTTTTATATAGTTCTACGTATAACTTTACATACGTTACAACCACGTATTCGGTATTCACCAAGCGCTGTATATATATATAAAGCCCAAACCGTGAAACAAAACCGGAACCAAACCGTTAGTAACGATTCGGTTTGGTTCGGTGTAGATTTTCAATGGTTCGGCTTCATTTTATGATTGATAGAAACCGTTACTAACGGTTTGGCTACGGTTTGATATAAAAACCGAAAAAACCGGACCATGAACACCCCTAGAAACCGCAGAGACTGCTTTCGGTCTTAAGATTGAAAAAATGAATGGTCAGGATTTAATTTTATTTATTGTTAAAATCTTGCAAGATGATATGATATTTTAGTAATTAATTATGAGATTTTGATAATTTCTAGGGAATGTTAATTGTTTGGAGGATATAAATGACAAAAGCAAAAAAATTAAAAGAAAAAAGGAAAATTCGGTCATATGGCCTCTCCAGGAGCTGACGCGTGCCCCTATCCAGCATGACAAGTGTCCACAGAGGTGGATTCAATTGAGAAAATAAAAAAGATTGAGAATAGTGGAATCATTCTAAGTCACTCATTTAATATAATCATAAAAGACACGGTGACAAACTTGTAAATATCGTAATAACCTTCAATCTCAAATACGTAACTATAGAGAATTCGATAACAGTTCGTTCATCATCAAAATTTTTCCTCCAACCTTCAATAATCATCCAAATTTCTTCAACTAAACCGGAATTTCTTCGTTGTTCATGAAATTGGAATCAGAGTTTTGGACTCGCAGTCACAGTCGACATTGAAGGACTCAGAATCGGTACTCATAGGTTCCCAATCGGATTTTTGAAAATCAAAATCAAAATAAGAAATCGATCAGACATAGGATGTCGCATCCGAAGTCGAAATCGGAAATATATGATGATTTGGAATTGATAACTTGATGTTTTTAACATTATTAAAATAGTTAACTTGTTTGCACTCCAATTGTTTGATGAAATGCATAAACTGAATTACCACGTTATATTCACATATGAATATGTTTTCCCACCTGAATCAGTATATGATTATTAAAAACACAAAACAAATATGCAAGTTTTTATGTTATTCATATGTGAATAACATATAAAAATTATATATATTTGTCAAAATACCTTCAAATATTCATAAGTGAATATATTCACAAGTGAATATACCTTGTAATATTTATATGTGAATATACTGTGTAATATTCATAAGTGAATATATTATCTAATATTCACAAGTGAATATACTATGTTATATTCACATGTGATATACCATGTAATACTATGTAATATTCACATATGAAATATAATTTAATACTCATAAGTGAATATATCATCTAATATTCACAAGTGAATATACTATGTTAATATTTACAGGTGAATGCATCATCCAATATTAAAATATGAATATACTATGTTTATTATATGCTGTATTCATATATGAATGATATTTAAAATGTACAAAAAAATCATACTTTTTGTTCATAACTGAATAACGAATGTACTGTAATAAAACGTGATGCATTTTTATTCACTTATGAATAACGATAGCTGAAAATATAATTTTTTTTATTTTATCTTAAAACTATATCAATATGGATGTCTATTTGTAGAGAATAAAAAATCATGAATTTTGGTATATTTAAAATTATTTTTCAATAAAAATAACTTATAAAAATTAAAAAAAAAAAAAAAAACTATGTTTTTGTATATATTAAGGTAATGATTAATATAGTTTAAGGAAATATATTTTATTGGAAAACACATGTGCATTCATTTCTCATTTCCATCGGTACGTTGGAGGCTTTTGCGGAAAAAAATAAATGATTGGCTGAGAATGATTCACCCATTCTCAACCTTTTTTTTTCTCAATTGAACCCTCCCCTATATCCGCATAGCTTTTTCGGCCATAACTTTTTTTTTCTTCGATTTTTTTTAAAAAAAATCGAAGTTTTAAAAATTAATTCTCTACAAAAGGAGCACAATAATGAAAATTTGAAAAAAAAATTTATTTTTTATATTTATAAAAAAATTCTACAAAAATTATAAAAATATAAAGAATACTTCTACTCACTATTTTAATGACTTTGTAAAAAGATTTTTTAAAAACTATGGTGTTGTAGATATTAAACTTGATTTTAAAAGATTAAAAGAAGTTGTTGTTGTTGTTGTTTTTTTTTTTTTTTAATATATATATATATATATATATATATATATATATATATATATATTAAATAATGAACATAATATGATCTAAATAAAAATGATTCAAAATAATTATGATTAAAAAATATTACAATTCAATATATTTATGATCATTAACTTGTTATGATCTAAAAATATTTTAATTCAAATATTTATTGATCCTTAATTATTATATGTTTTATTATTCAAAATTAAATGATTCAAAAATTATAATGATCAAAAGGTTGTATTAAACAAATTTTTTATTTAATTCAATATGTTATGATCTATATTAAAATGATCCAAAAATATATGATGCATAATATCGTTATGATTCAAAATATTACGATTCAAAATTTTATGATCCAAAAAGTATGAATGGAAAATATTATGATCATTAATAATTTTTTTATTTAAAATTTTATAATTATTAAAAATTAAAAAACTCAAACCGATATTTAGTTTAAACGATAAAAAAACAAAAAAAAAACCTTACTATCTTCAATTATGTAGTAAACATATTAAAAAAAAGAAAAAAATATTTTTTTTAGCAAAAACGAAAAAAACAAGAAAAAAACGAAAAAAAAAAACATTTAAACCGAGCATATATCTATTTAAGAAAAAAAATTGAATTTTTTTAACGAAAAATAAAAAAAATGAAAAGGAAAATGAAAACTCATTTAAATGACGTTTCATGTACGTTCATCGCATATGATTATTCCCTCGAGTCCGTATTACATTCCATTTACGTGCACTGTGTGCGAACGCGTCACAACCAAGTAAATGAGTTTGACGTTTGTGTTATTTACGAAATGATTGATGGAGAATAATCCTCACGGTTTCTATCGGATTCGGACCACAACTTCGAACGAAGTACCAAGTTCATAATCGGCTCGTTGGGCCGCCCAATATAGTGCGACATCAACAACATCGCCTCTAACACTGCTGCTACGTCGCCCCCTTTCTCGA